TGTCCGCAACTTTCAACTCGGGAACCACAAAAGCTAGGAAGCTGAAAATTTAAGGGAACGTTCCCCGCCCACGTGTGATCCCGCAAATTTAAATTCAGCTTCCCCACACCCGCGGGTAACGCGTACGGCCCCGTGAAACTTTTTCACGGATAAGTTAATATCTCGGGAAACACGGGGTCTAGGAGGCTGAAATTTTAGGGTAGTGACCCCTGCCCACGCGCAACCTTGCCCATTCAAATTCAGCGTTCTCGCATTCTCGGATGCCACCTATGGCCTCGTGAAAATTTTGGCGGGTAAATCATTAACTTGGGAATCACGGAAAGATATTCATCCTTCAAGGTTTCGAATTCAGCTTTCATGCACTGGTGCGTGAAATTTTTAATTGTTTTCCAGTGTTTGAACTATTTTTGCATAGACTAAAGTAAAAAGCATTGAAAGTCATTAATAAGCAATCGTTCGATGGGCTGAATTGCACAAAATGCATGATCGCACCGGCTGGTCTGGTGCGCGTTGCTATTTATTATACTTGTCACATTGGAAGAGAAAAATTACTGAGGTTAGGGAGATCTCGCTGCTGATCGATTCTGAATCGTTCTGCCTTCTCTCCTGCGCCTCCTCACTTGCTCTCCGTAAACGTTTCGTCTGCTGAAGGAATTATCAGTTCAGCTATTCTCCCGTCGGAAGAAGCACTGGCTAGACATTGTATTAGAATATGATGATTCCCTTGCTTGCATAGTTTATTCGTGTGAGTCGTATTGTTTTGCATTCATACTCCGAGAATCCCGCAGCTTTGGGGATTGTACAGGTTTCTTTCGGTACCTTTTTTGCCACGTCACGTGTAATGGTGTTGTGGTGGGATGAAGCAAGTTCACTGATGATTTATCGAAGAACTGCATAAGCAAGGGAGAACGAAGGAGATGGCGAAGGAAGCGGAGGGGGGGAGGGGGAGGGGTTGGGATGGGGGAGGAACAGAAAGCAAAGGGGGAGTACGTTATATGTATTACTTGTGCAGGAAAGGGTGAAGATCGAAATCAGGCATGCGGATGCTAGATATAGCAGCAAATTTATCAGTCATGGAAAGATTGCAGAGATTACAATTGATCAGTGTAAAAAGTTTATAGATTTTAGACAGAAAAATGGGAGGCAAATTTCAATCATGGGAGATGATAGGAAACTTTGAAGAAACCGTTAAAGTCAAAAATCCTCCAATTATGAAGGGCGAGAGAACTCGGAAGCCAGATGGATTAGTATACGTATGCAGCAACCGGAATCCAGACGGATTAGTACTGGCACTGCTGTCGATGGTTCTGCCTTTCGTGGATTGCTTATAAACAAGTTGAAAAAACTTTCGCAAAACTTACTAGTACATATTTTTTTTTGTTATTGAAGGTTTGTGGCAAGAAGTTGAACTGTGGCAATCACTGTTGCGAGCGCCTCTGCCATGTGGGGCAGTGTGATCGATGCCTGATTGCCAGTAAGTGCTCTCGTTTAGACTAGATCGATTAAGCTGCTTAATAATATGCAGTTTCTGTCGAATTCAGCTTACTTCTTATATGAATCATTATAGCAAGAACATACTTGTGAATATTTGTATGTCTGTCACGAAAATTCAACTCCAGAACTATGCGCAATTATTCGGCTCCAGGACTTGAATGCCGGAATTTTAAGAGAGTAATTTTGAGTTGTGTGGGATTCAAAAAATGTGAAAACAGCCCCATGTTCCTTACAGGTTGTTGAAGGTTTGGCCTCATACTGCTAGCTAGATTTTTACCTCAAAATGCCACTACGCCAAAAACACAGACACATTTTGCAAATAATGTTTGGAACAGCTATTATAGCCGTTAATTGCCAGTTCGGAGTGTGGGTTTCCACCTTCACGCTACTGGCAATTTTCCCATTTCCATGGTTGTTTTTGATCAATGCAGCACCGCTTGCTGGTCAAATTGCTAATGATTCTGATATTAGTTTCATTTTCTGAAGGGATCATCGACTTTACGGGCCTGTCGCAGAAACAGTTAAAAAGGCTTCTAATCCCCTAGCCAAAGATATTCATTGTTTTCATCTTTAAAATATCTGAAACACTTTGACAGTTTCAAAATGTCTTTGATGTGTGTGTACATGTATGTGCGTGTGTGTATGTGTATGCATGTATGTGTAAGTGCGTTTGTATATGTGTATGTATGTGTCTGTTGCTGTCTTGCAACTGCTAAAATATGATGGGGTTTCTATACACAATGATAAGTTATTATCATCTGACGAATTGATAAAAGATGGGGGAAAACCAAATCCTGTATATTTTGCCGCATTCACTCGTTGTAAGCGCATTTCGAACAGCTTTTTACAGAAGCACATGGCTGTTTTGATGTCTTCCGCTTTGTCCTGCTAAAATACATAAAGTGAAGAAAATGTTATAAGTGTTCACCCAGTGCTTATATTTATCAGCTTCGGCTAAAATACTGTTGAAAAATTTACTGCAGGTTTCGAGGAGCAGTATTGTTTGTGTGGATCAACAGTCCGTCATCCACCGGTTCCGTGCGGCACATCATTGCCCGAATGCACTGAGCCATGCTCACGAGAGCATTCATGCGGTCATCCACCAACGCATAACTGTCATGCAGAGCCCGAGTGCCCTCCATGTACAATGCTTACTCAGAAACAATGCTACGGTGGGCACGAGGTTTGAAATTTTTTGATTTTTATGGGCTAAAGATTTTGTTAGAACGTAATTAATTCCTCCGTACATGCGCAAAATTTGAATTGAAAAGTCAGGTTGTATTGCATATTTTTGTTTTTGCTCTTTTTTTTTTTAAATCTCAGCAATATGAACATGGTTGACTCAATTCTGGGGCATATTTTGTCCAAGTCCCCATTTGTTCAAAGTTCTTATTCTCATTTGTCGCTACACAACGTTCCCTTCTTAATTTATAGTTTAGATTCCCCCCTCCCCTTCCCGTCCCATGTTAATCAGCAACTTTTCCGTCCACTACGATCTTGCGCTTTCCGCATTACTCCATACATCCGAATCAATAGAACAGCCCAGCATGCAGATGGCCCCCGCTACTGTTCTTTCACCACGCAATTATCCATTTCGTTCCCTCCCCCACTCCCTACCTTGCGCCCCGCCCCCCTTACATTGGTGGTATTTGCCAAATTACCAGCCCTGTTTCTCATTTTGGCATACATTTCTTTTAATATATCTTTTACATAAAATTGTGGTCACATTTGGATCACGTATTGCAGCCCATTGGCATTTCAGGATATTCCTCATATGTAGTTGAGTTTAATTCACGCGTTTTTAAAGACTATAAATGTTAATTTTCTACTGCACATGTTTAGATTCGTGCAAATATTCCGTGCTATCTGAATGATGTTTCATGCGGACGTCCATGTGGCAAAGAGTTACCATGTGGTGTGCATTATTGCAAGCGAATTTGCCATCCCGGTCCATGTTTGGCGAACAGTGCACCGTGTCAGCAGCCGTGTACAGTTCGGAGATTCGGAGAGGCCTGTGATCACATCTGCGGCTTACCATGCCATGGCAACACACCGTGCCCCAAAAGGTTGAAGATTTTTTTTGTTTGCTTTTGATGCTCTTAAAATCGACGGTTAAGCGATCCACATACCGGGATTCTTAAGTAATTGAGGGAAATTATGATTTGTGAGAAAGTATTTTTGTAGCAGAACTGAAGGAATAGTGCACATGATGCGGGCAGGAATAATAATAGAAGTCGTAACGTGACATTTTATCCATCTCAGTATCAAAATTTAGCTTTCCTGGTCTCCAAATTAGCGATTTTCCCCTGCCAAAAAGTCTCACAGGGCTGTGCGTTGTTTTGTTGTCTGAAATTTTTATGGAACCTTTAAGGGTTGTACGTGAACTGGGAACATCCTCTTAAAATTTCAGCCTCCCAGCTTTTCTGGTGTTGGACTATTATGTTGATTTTTGCTCAAATAATTTTGCTTCTTAGTTTTATTGTTGTTTGCAGCAGCTGCATGGCAAAAATCGCTGTTACATGTGTATGCCTTCGGAAATCAGCCGAAATGCGTTGTGTGGACGTGGAACGAGCTTTCCAGAAGGCTTTGGCAGTGAAGGTGGAAGAAAATCGCGACACAAAACCGCTAGCTGAGAAGCAAATACTGAAGAGAAGTCCAAGCAACGATAAATATCGATGGTAAGAATGAATTCTGTTGCGTAAACTACAGCAAAATTGAACTCTGTGATATTGTTCACTGACGTATTGGCGTTAGGAGAAGCATTTCCTTTGTTAACACTAACTTTTTACGACTGAAAGACTAGCGTATTTAAGTGCACTGGGATTTTGATGCTTTTTTTGTCATGCTTTTTAAGTAAATTTTACGATGATCACCCACGTAGACAGAACTGAGATCCGTTTTTGGTGATGTTACTGGGCTGGGTCTGCGAGTTGGTGAAGCTGTGCATGACTCACGGATGGGATTCAGTAATATGCGATGCATTTTATGTATCCAACGCAAAAAAACTATAACAATTCTTGCGAACTGATCTCTTGCAGTTTTGTTGTAATCATTTTTTTTTTTTTGCCTTATTTTTGGTTGAAAGCAAAACGTTTGTGAAATCGCTTACGAGATGTGTTGAGGGAACTTTGAACTGAATAAGCTCATTATTTGTTCATATAACTGATGAAAATAACATATAACAGATAGAAGAAATGAATTTGAAAGTGGATAGAAGAAAAAACAGATGGAAGTGAATTTAATTTTTTAAAAGTGCTTCAAGAATTCCATTGCCTTTACTCTGAACCGATTCACTAACACAGATTTATGGAGGGATTTAAATGCAGAAAACAGAAGAAGATCATAGTCGATTGAAAAGTTGCCCGTTTCATAGTTGGAAATCCAGACTATGAATTAACAACCAGGAGTAGTAAAGGTATTCCGAGAATACATATTTGCAGCCTTCCATGTGACGCCGAGTGCCAGCGATTTTTGCGAAATAAGAAAGTAGCAGACGCACTGAATATCTCTGAATCAGCTACAGCTTCCGGCGAAGCCTCTACAGTGTACAGCGATTTTTTGAAAAACCAATGGAAAGTGAACCAAAAGCTGATTGCCGAAATAGAATGTGTTTTCGTTGAACTCGTGCAAACTTTGGACGCTGTAAGTTGGAACGTATTTCTGCGGAAATTATCGTCTCATTACCAGCACCTTCATGAAAAAAAGTGACAGGAATTTCATTTTTCTTCTATAAGCTAGTCGAATGCAGTAGAAATAGTAGAATAGAGGGATTGGACTAAGTGTCATGTGCAAGAACACACTTTATGTTCCATCCCTTAGCTGTAAACACAGACCGAACTTTGCATGAGGGCAGGAGCGGAAATAATCAGTACAGCCTCCTACTCGCCAAGTACTGAGCACTCATGTAACTAATTTGCAAGACGGATATGCGAAAGAAAGAGAGAAAGAGAATACAGAGAGAGAACAAAGAGGATGGGAGAGGAGAGAAGAAGTTAACCCATGGTACTAACAGTCATCATTCAATTATGGGGAACCTCTTTTTATAAGAATATTGTGCTGACTAGGCATTTATTTCCTGAATCATTAGGGGAGATGAATTTGCTGAGTTCTGATCGGTTCTTGAAGCAGAATCTGAGAACAGAGCGTTCTATTTTGGCAGCATCTAACTTTTTATGTCTATTGGTACTTATAAGCCGTCTAGCCCAGTCACAGAATCCGTTTGGAAGAGTGCAGATATGAGAATAACGAAGTAGCTGCAGTACAATAACACCTTCTTGCACCGTTTGGTCCATATCACTGTCTGGATATCCCCGTAATTTACTGTGACTGGGTAGTCCAAGGTCTGTGTTGCTTTTCATAAGAACTTTTTTACAAATTACTGTAGCAAAAGCTGCTTCATACTGACGGCATTTTGATGTTCATTCCTGTCGGGTTACTGAGGAAAGTTGCTGGACTTTTCTGCTCTGTCGCTAGCCTAGTTCTTCAGTTCAGCTCTTGGTATGAACTGTTTTTTAGGCAAATATGTGCGTATTTATTTAGGTGAGTTGCGGAGCTTCTTTGAATCTGCCCAAAGAACACAGCTGTACCTGAAGCAATTCGAATTATTGATTAAGCGGACGATCTTCAGGAAATTTCCCAAAAATTTCTATAGCTTCTAGATTTCAAAATCGAGCTGTTCTCAGATGGCATTTGAGGGATCAGGCTCAGAAGTATCTGAAGTCTCGTGTAAGTTAAAAAGCTTGCAGTATAGAGTAATTTGCAGCAACCGAACATGTCTTCTGTAAGTTACTCGTTTCGACCAATGCATTCGGAGCAGCGTCGTGTGGTCCATGAATATGCGAGTTATTTTGGCATCGAAACGAAAAGTTATGATCAGGAGCCTCAGAGGAATGTTGCAGCCACAGCGAAACGGTAAGCTTTTGGAGCTGATGAGGTTTCCACATAGAATCACTGGAAAAAGTAGTGCCTACTTCCGAGCTTTATTTTTTTGAAAGAGTTTATTAATGAAAAATTTCAGAGGTGTGAGTCGCTTGCCGGAGCTACTCCTTACAGCCTGTTCAGCAAAGCCATCAGCAGCATCTTCTTCAGCAGTGTTAGTTAGACGTTTTCATTTTGATCAAGTAAGATAGGCACTTGAGAATTGCAGTGCATGTAATGGTGATAGAACATTGTTGTGTGCTTACTGTTGGCATGTGTTATTACTTGTGCAACATTTTCAACACAAAAGAAGTTTTGACTTAATTTGATGTGTAGACCCCACTAGTGATGTTTCTTCGGTCT